AAGACCGCGCCAACCTTTTCCCGCTTTATGCTTCCGAATCCTATAAAAGAGCTTGCCCTTTAAGGTTCGGGGTCGACTCCTCTGTCTCCTGCGAGAGACACGTGTCGGCCCGGAGCTCCGCTTAATAAAACTCTTACCTCTTGCGTTTGCATCAAGCTCGGTCTTCTGGGTCTGTGGGTCCGCGCCTTCCCGAGGGTGGAGTTGGGGTTCCCTTTTTGGGATCCTACAATACTTTTAAAGAGGGGGAGCTCCCGCAGTGTTCAGTAACAGTAACTCCTCTACCAGCAGGAGTCCCAAAACAAGTCCTTTACTGAGTGATCAGCCAGAAAGGATACATCTGCACCTCCAGCAACATTTTAGTAAATAAACTATTTGTTGTTCTTACCTTAATTGTTACATTCAGATTAACTTTAAGATTCTTTTCTAAAACCATTATCCCCCCACAGATAAAAGAGAATGGGTCATGGAAGGCTGGCCGTGAAAATATAATCTATGATGGACGTTTACAGAGATGAGTGATTCATTTATGTACAGAAATCATTTGTCCTCTGGCTGAGAATGTGCCAGGTGACCCGGGCCACGAGGGCTCTGTGCCTGCAGGTCACCATAATTTTCAAAGACAGCTTCCCAAGGATAAATGTGGGTGTATGAAAGAACTAATGGGCATATATTTGGTATGTTATAAATCCAGAGTTATCAGTCAAAGGCTTCAAAGAAACCAGGACAGGTGTGCAGCCAGATGGAAAGAAACCACTTACTAGCGAGGTTTAGAGCTTGTCGCACACTTTGACAGTTATGTTGCCAACGGCCGACCGTGGTTAACCTGCAAAGGTGAGACTGGAGCGCAGCACGTCCTTTCCTTAGTACTTGTGACTTTTCACCTCCTGCATTGCTATTTCACAGTAACAGAAACAAGCAAAAATATGCAGCAAAAATAACGTTTCCTAATCATAAGCTCTGGTCTGGTTCTTTACACAGAGCTGGACGTCTCCTAGGGGAGGTGATAAAGTTGTGCAGTCTGAAGAATAAACCGTGGCACAACACACAAAATCGAAACGTAAAAGCTATCTAGGCTCAAGAGGAAAGCTTTCTTATTTAGAAAAAAAATAAGTCAGGGCAGATCACAGTTCTGACACACAGGCCTCATCTGGCAGAGGTGCTCTTTCAGGAAGTTTCTGCATCTTGGGCAAAATAGAAAGGTGGGCAGCCAGAAAGTGGGCTTCTGGGCACCCAGGTGAGTCTACGTCCAGGAGGCCAGGGAGCCAAAGGCACCTTGTCTTCAAGAGAAAGGCTGACTGTTACTTAGAGCAGCCCCTGAAGGCCCCAAGCTTCAGATGAGTCCTAGATCAGTGACAAAGGGCCAGAGAAGCAGATTCTGCTCGGTCCTAAGGCTGGATCCTGAGTAGGACTCTCCAGTGACCAGTAGCAGTTGAAGACTTGATGACTAATATAAAACATAATTTCATTAGATCTTGCTCTGAATTTTAAATTATGTTCTTTATATTCACACTTAGATGCTTTAATAAAGAGTATTATGTCACATCCCTGAATGAAAAAAAAACTTTTCAGGGCCGGCCCCATGGCCTAGTGGTTAAGTTCGGTGCTGTCTACTTCGGTCTAGGTTTGGTTCCCAGGCGTGGACCTACACCACTCATTAGCGGCCATGCTGTGGTGGCGACCCACATATAATATAAAGTAGAGGAAGAATGGCAACAGATGTTAGCTCAGGGTGAATCTTCCTCAGCAAAAAATAAATAAATAAATAAATAACTTCTCTTTTAATAAATTAATCCAATTCTGGTAAGATTAGCTGTTGGAACCACAGGATCATAATTCTGGCACTATTAATCACTTTGTGTTAAAAAACTTGATTTTAGGAATCACTAAGTATAAAATGCATACACAGCCTTAGGAGTCTGTTCAAAAGCTTAACGAAGTAGCAAGCGCCATGGAGCTCAATGAGAACTATACAACATGTTCTTGCATATTTCCAGCCTCTGCTCTTCCAGAAGGCCGGGCAAACTGAAAGTGCTTACTATTCTCAAGGACAATCAGGTTGCTGCCTCTAGATCGCGTGACTAAAGATTAGTCAGCAGGGAACATTCGCAGAGCCAAACGTTTTCCAACCTGATGATTTTTTATGAGCTATTTCCAAGGTTGACTCGACACCTGTGTGTTTCTTTTTTTTAACCTCTTTGGACATGATAAATGTTGCCATTTACTGTGTTCAACTGTGAGAATGTTCAATATGACACAAAGCAAGGACCAAGGCCTGGGAAATTTTGTTACTCATAAATTCATCCTTGGGAAAGAAGTTAGCCACATTTCCCATTGTGCTTATCACCTTGGGAGGTTCTCAGAGTTTCTGAAAAGAGGGTGGCTCTGGACGGCAGCTCTGAGCAAGAACACGTGTTCCTGCTCTTGCATCCAGGCTGCCTAGCTGATACTTATGCCACTAAAGGGCAAGCAAACCTTCCAACCGAGAATGCTCACTCCCAGGGAGCCAGCTGCCGCTTACAGTAGAACTCATTAATCTTCTGTCACTGGATGGATGGCATTATGCACTTAACTACTATGGACAGATGGGTCCATCATAGGCAGACCTGATTCTGCCCGTCTGGGCCCTACCCTATTAGCCCATCCACATGCCTCTACTGCACACTGTACAAAGTACAAACTCACGAGTCTGTCTCCATTTTCAAGAGGAATAGATACAAAATTAGCGTTGGAAGGAGGAGGAGGCAAAGAGAGATGACATTAAAATACACTGAATGTGAGGTTCCAGCTGAGTGACTTTACATTATTTTCCACTTCAAGGGTAAAATTTTCCATGACTATTATTTAGAAAACCAGATGTGTTGTATTTTTTTTGCTTCTCCAAAGCATTTGGATGCACTCGTGGGAAACACCCAGCACGTGATCTGCGATGCAGCAGGTTGATGGCCAAGCAGCAGTCAAGGAATGCTATTCGAGTGAATCACAGAAACTTTATAGGACAGATTGACAACACAGCTTTTAAAAATTATAAAACTGGTAGATTTTAAAGGATTATTTGCAAAGCAGCATTTTATTTTCTAACTAGATCATCGCTGGGAAACTCATTCCATGAGCTAAATCTCCCCATGGACACTGACATAATGATGAACTTCCTAATCACTGTGATTAAAAGTTCCTTTGAAAGTATAACCTCTTTCTTGAGTCATATTATTCAGGAAAAATGAAAGATGGATGGGTGTGCACAGAAAACAGCTCTTCAGTTGTGAAAACCTGATGTGTATGTGCAGAGAAAGCAGTAAGGGGAAACCTACATTTCCCCAGGCCCGTGCTCAGACGTGACCACGTTTCCTCCTTCAGATCTGAGCCAAAGTTCTGATGACAGTCTCTCCCACCTGACCCTCCGAGGCTCTGGGCTGAGGGAGGAGCCGCAGCTGTGGAGGCCAGTGCAGAGGGAGTGCTCAAAAATGCTTGCGGCTGAGCGGCTGCAGCCGCGCCCAGGCGACTGCTGCACCAGGGTCCACCCGGCCCTGCCCTCACCCCAGAGCCAGGGGTCCGGGCTTGGGGCCTCAGGCTCTGCCCTGCAGAACCCGAAAAGAAGCAATATGGTGTCAGTAGGGACTCAGACCAGGAAGCAGAGGAGCAGGAAAGCTTTAACATCGGGTGCCTCCCAGGGGCTCAACACTCCAGACCCACCACAGCTGCTGTTTTGTAGGAAAGTGCAAAAACTCTGGGTGGCACCAACAGTGTCTTTTGTCTATTAAGCAGGGTCTATCTGCTTAATAATTAATAAATGTGGCATTCGGCAACACTAATAATAGTATACACTGAAATCCCACCTCTCTTTATACATGCTTTAATTTTTTTTTAAGTGTCATCAAATATTTTTATTTGGGGCATTATGTTTTAAGTGGCCCAAAGAGAAGCTGAAACACTTTACATGTATGGGGATTTTTAAAAATACTTGTTCTTTCCTCCTTACGCATTATGGTGCCACATCAGCGATGTTGCTGATGCTCATTTGACTAAACATCAATAAAAGCCCGGACTGGCCGTGATGAGAGCACTGCACTCCGCACTCTCCTCCTTGGGAGGATGGGCAGAGCCAAAGGCCACAGACCACTCTGTAGAACACTTTTTCCTTCTGCTTCTGAGGTACATTTTTTGGCCTTGAGGGGAAACAATTCATCTAATCTTACTATGATCCTTATTTATATGTGTAAACTAATGAACTAATGGGCTGCCATTACAATGAAAGCCTTAATGATGTGATTTCTAGCAAAGATACAGCATCAGGCCACCACAGACAGCAAGAGAAGTTGTCTGCTCCCTGGAACACCGCATGTGAAATAAGATGACACAGACTTAGATTAGGAGCCTCCTCCTCCAGGTGTGGGTAGAACAAGGGGCTGGGACCTCAGCACCCACCTGCCTGTGGAACTGTCCTCCATTTGCAGGCTGCAGCCGTGATCCGTGATCACCGATCTGCACAGGGGAGTGTGAAGAATGCTCCCCCATAGCAAAGCTGCAGCCTGGCCCGTCGTCATCTTGGTCTGGGCCGCCTCCTGTTGGATCCTCCAGGACTCCAAGCTCACCAAGCCTGGGGAGGGTCTCTGGATGCTCGCTCTGAAAATAGCAGGAGACGATGATCACAGCTCCACCTGAATCATCTGCTGTGTAGCCTGATTTTTATTGTTGGAAGAGGATTATCCACTTTGTGGGTTATCAACTCGTCACTTCTCAGCCCTCTTCCCTAATACGCTCATATGGGCCATTTCACCCAGTGGCCACTTTGTCCATTTAAATAGCACAGAGTGGGTGCCCAACTTATCAGAAAGATTAGAAATTTTACTATTTATAAATTATTTTGATAATGAAAAATTTTACTATTTATAAATTATTATTGCTTAGTTATGGTTTTATAATTTAGAGGAGGAGGAACTCCAAAGTATTAATCAATAGGAAACTTTACAACTATTTCTAGGTTTTACTTAACGATAGTTTTCTACGTTACGGATATTTGGAAGTAAGTTGAATTAATTTTTGAAGGCTTTCTTCACCCTGAGGAAAGAGAATCACCGTATCTTCCCATTTATAGGATGACTTAAAATTACACACACTGTTCACTAGAGTGAAAAGCACACAAAAGGTCTTTGGGGGCTAAAAGGAAACCAACATTCACAATGCCTTGAAGCAGCTGACAAAGTGGCCAATGGTGTGAACATCCAGAACACATCGAACACGGGTGGTTTCAGCCCTGCACTCACCAGAAAGCATGGCCAGGAAAGAGCCTGCAGAGCTAGAGATCACTCTGACTTATTCAATAAAAATGAATCAGAAAGCAAATAACTCTATTCTGCTTCTGTTATGAATCTGGGAATTGAGGCAGAAGAAGGAGAACATACACCAATTTCAGAGGTGGCAAAAAAGTGACCCATCTGGAGCTGAGAAGAGACCTTATAAAACTGCATGGGGCAGAATGGGCTCTAGCATTTAGGAACAAAAACTGAAATGGAGAGAAAACAGAAAGATTTAGAACTGGGTTTTACAAACTGGCAAGGTAGAATGAGACAGCCAAGGATCTCAGGCTGATAACTTTAACGAATTTGTAAATCAGCAATGAAAGGGATGGCAGCAAAACTTTGCTGAAGAATGGACTTACAGACCAGTCTATTCTCAAAACAAGGTCAAAGGACAGCAGCGAATTCTTGGTCTAATATACCATTGGAAAACCCACTGCATTTCCACTGCCTGGACTGGACTTGACAAAATATCCTGAAATAACAGAACATGACTGTGTGTGTAGCGGGGAGGGGGACAGCAGGGTCTGGGGGTCAAGAACAAAATCGACACAAATAAAATGAACTCTCCAGGGAGAGGTACCTTGGTGAAGTCCTCCCCTTCTTCCTCCGCCTGTTTTCCTTGCCGCCAGTGTTTCAGCAGCCACCTGAGTCTGATGTAGAAAAGGAAAATGTTCTGCTTCAAGGACCGGAGCTCCTGCTGCATCAGATTCCTCTCATCACTCCAGGTCCGCTCATGGAGGGTGTTTTGCAAAGCTAGGCTGTGCATTTCCAGTTCTTTCCACCTCAAAGCATAGAGGTGCTCCTCCTCCATCTTGGACAGAAGAACAGAGAGAGTGTGACAAGCAGCGATTCCAAATCGCCATCAAACCAAACCAAGAGTCTTTGTAACCTGCCATTCAGTCTATACCATTTTGCACATGGGACTTGAAACACAGAAGCCCCCCCAAAATTAGTAAATTCCTTGAGATGTCTACTATTGATAAAACCTCATGAGTTTTCTGATTCAGAAGCAAGTGCTATTTCAAGGTAACACATTATAATCATTTTTCATTGTCAAGTTTCTTGTGGTGTTTTTAGATATCTCCAAAGTCCTTCAGGAAAATCGTTGCTTGGATGCATGGCTTACAGCTGACTTAAATGCAGACTCCACCTGCCCTCTGCGTGTGAGCTTGCACACAAAGGCACACTGCCTTTGGTAAGAGGAAGTAAGTGGAAACCCTTCCCCCTGGCTTTCTGAGCGCTCTGGTGCTCACAGGCCCCATGGAAAGAGACCACCACGCTGACAGAGAGGCCCACAGAGAGCAGCACAGTGAGTGCCGGGGCCAGCAGGAACTCTGCTCAAACGTGCAGTGTTCTACTGATGCACAGCGGGGAGTGAACAGGAAGGTGAGTTGATCACCCACTTCCACGCTTAGGACTTCACATTCCCCCTAGATACAGGCAACTCTTAGGGAATAAAAGTATTGCTGAAAAAGAAGTGTTCTCCACCTCTCTGTTAAGGTCCTGCTTTTCCAACATAGGTATAGGCACTCTTCCAAGCAATAAACAATTATTATGTGTCAATAATGACTAAGCAAAAGGTTGTGAACAAAATCTTACTTTACAGGTAAGGGCAAAAGGATAATATCTATAGTAGCTAAAGTGATCTACGGGATGACAGCTTTCTGTTCTACAGACCAAGAAAAGGGTTAGAATCCAGCCTTATCGTTGTCAGCTGCCCTCTCCTAAGTTAACACTCCCTCTTGTGCCAAAAACCAAGGCAGTGGGTTTTGTTTTGTTTTTTCTAAAGCTCTAGGTTAATGTTCAGAAACCATGCGGATATGACTATGGCAGTCTGAGGCTGACACCAATATGACCCACGTGCCAAAGGCTAGTGAAGAGCGAGAGGCAGCTCTGGAAAGGTCCTTGGGTCTGCACGGCCACTGTTGTAATGCCAGATCTTTTTTGCATTTCAAACTGAAATAACATAAAATAGCACCATTCAATTCACCATCTCAGCAGCCCTCAGAGTCCCACCACTGGCTCTCTCCCTGTGGACACAAGCATAGGACAGAGTGTGAAAAGGGGGCAGCCTCGCGTACTGGAAATCCAGTGTTTGCAAATGACGTGCAGTGTCATCTTAGGCCACCGTCTGACTCTGGTAAGGCTTCAGCCTCCTCAGCTGCAAAATGACGCTAACACGAGATGCTGTGCGGAGCGCCTGGCTCATGGCAGAACTCCAGAGGCACCAGAGTATTAGCAGTGGGGTGCGGCGCTGGGGAAGGGCGATGTTCCTTCCAGACTCGCTCTGACTTCTCCACTGCCCTTGCTGCCTCCTTCTGTTCCAGGACTCCAAGCACTTCCCAAGGCTCAGTGGGTCCTCTGGCTTCGGGGTGCATTAGGGGACACCATCCCTTCCCCTTTGAACAAGCTTGCATGACATCTCACCACCTGTGGGAGACTCTTCCTCGGCACACTCCTGTATCTTGAATCCAAGCACTAGACACACCTGGCACCCTGCCATTTTTCTATCAGCATCTCCAGGGACAAACTCACTTTTCAAATGATTTTTGGTACAGTGAAAAAAAAAGGAAAGAAAATTAAACTACTTAGGAATCTACCTTTCGAGTAATATGAAATTATTTTCCTTTCCCTTATCAGTTGTTGACCTATTCAGATGAGCACAACCACGGACTATGTGGGGCTTATGTGTAACACACATTCCTTGCCAAAATAAGTTCTCGGATACATCAGGTACCTTATTTTGCACAGGATATGCATTTTAAAACACCACGGTGCCCTATTCAAGATCAACTGGTTTTTGTTTTTCATTTTTAAAGATACGGGCATCTTCCAAAAACAAATACAAGGGGAGAAAAGCAGCAATAGCAATTCTGAGCCTGGACATCTGTTTACGACTTAATTAGATCTGAGCTGGGAGGGACTGGACAGTCCTCAGGGAGGGCTGCAGGCCTGTGTCTGTGACTCCTTTCCACCAGGAACCCTGGGAAGGATGTAATGGACAAAAGATAATCAGCCAGTAACAGGTTCCTCTAAAATAGCTAGAAGAGTTAATAAAGCCACAGCTCAATTCATGGTAGTTTTTTGAAGACAACTGTTCAGGGTGAGTTCTTGATGTTTCTATCAGAAAATTTACCTAACTCTGACAAACTTACAAATCTGCAGGACAACAAGAGTTAGGACACACTTTTGTGTCCAGTTGCATTGAAGGCCTTTATTTTATCTTACTTTGCTGGTTATGGCTGCAGAAATTTAGATTAGGTATTAGAAAGAACTTCCTGAGGCCTCCCTGTAAATATGGAAAAGCATGTGAGAGAGCAGAAAGGTAGACAGTTATCTTCATTAGACGTCTGAGGGGCAGCTCGACTGGATGACCGCTCCACACACCCTCCAGCCCTGTGAGTCCACGAGCCTGTGAGCAACAGGCGGCATCTTTTACAATACATCTTGTCATCTCTCTTGGGGAGCTCTACTGTCAGAGAAGTGGTTGTGCTGAAATCCATGTTACATATTTACCTTGTGGATCCTGTTAGTAAATTTCTCTGTCTCCTCTTGATGCAGGCTGGTCGCCTGTGCAAGATGACCCTGTAGCTCCTCTATTGATACACTCTGTTCAGGTAAAACAGGGGGGCCCCTGAGCTGATTGGTGGGATAAAGGAAGGGGTTTAGTGGAAGCAAGAACTCTGCCTGAGGTGAAGACGCAGGACAGACATCTGCACAAACCAGGGACACACACGGAGCAACACGGCCCATGCGGGCGCTATAGCAGTGGAGTGACTCCACAGCGACCCCCTGAACCCTCGCGCTGTGCTGGGAGGGACAGCTCACCTGCCCGTTCTATCTTACCTGGGGCACAGGCGGTAAGTGGGGCCTATCACCTGACTCCCACCAGAGGAACCACAAACTAGGCTGAAGGAGGGAGCCTGGGTACACGAGAGCATCTTGGCCACCACAGCAGCTTCTAGACAGTTTTGTAAAGTGCTGGGTCAGAGCTGGCAATTATGACTGAGTCAAGCACGACTGCCTCACACACCGTCAGCCTCTGAGATTCACTGTCCGGTCCATATGTGTCCTTCTAAGTTGCACGGTTAACTTGCTCACGTGCTTTCTTATTAGAGCTTTTCCTGCTCAATCGCACGCCCTTCTTCTCTCCTGCCCTCCTACCCCAGACGTGCAGTGTGACTGGGGTGAGGCTCCTTCAATTACCAGAAACATCAGCTCAGGCCTCTCAACTGCACACACAGCCTGGGAAGAACTGCACAAAGATCTGCTTACTACATTTTAGGTTAAAAATACGTAAAGGAATATTTGTGTATTGTTTTTATTGGTCAAGTCTATCTTTTATGCCTTTTTGGTCCAAACAGCAATGATAGAGAAGTCAGAGTTACTACTTGTGAAATAAAATGTGTTTTTTTAGAGATGGAAACACCAAAAATCTCAGGCATCGTTAAAACGGAAGCATGACATTTTACCCACTTGTTTATGCTACTTGAAGAGAAGGGATTTATAAAGGTGGGAATTAGAGTAGATTGTTGCGATAAAAATAGGTGTCCTTTTACTGGTTCATTCTGATTACCTTTAACCAATCTGTTACTTCTCACTGAAGATAGTGTTTACTCTTCCCCATCTGATGCTACCTGGGTTGTCATGAAGGAAAATCCCGCCAAAGAACAGAAATGCAGAAAATAAAAGAGCAGATCACTTCCCTCAGCACAGGGATGACCAAGAGACAGTTTACAGAAAGAAGGATGGAGACAAAAACTTAGAGACACTGCAGATTTGCCAGCTTTAGGATAAAATTTTTGAAAGCTATAAATTTAAGCTCATCCTACTTTCAAGAAACTCAAGAACTACTGAGAATATTAATGCTCCTTTGATTTGCTGGTTATTAAAGATTATTATCATAGCATTTTATACCTACCAGGCAGGATTTCGGGTTCTCTTTGAAGAGGCATTTCTCTACACATTGAATTTACTCTAATGGCTAATTCCTCATTTCTAAAAGTACTATTTTATTGTTTTTTAACAAGTATGGTCTTTTATTGTAATGACTTAATCTTTTCTCCTGTTTGCTTGCCTTTTCATAGTCTTGAACACACTTATTTTGTAGTCTCTATCTGATCATTCTAGAACCTGAAGGTCTTAGAGTTGGATCCTGCTGTTGGCCATCAGCTGACTCTTGTTCCAGGTGTGTGTTTGTGGCTTGTGTTTGCAGTTTTGCATTCTGAGTTCATCTTCAATGGGGAGTTAGCTATGATCTCGTATGTGACCTGGCTTTGTGTTTTCAGAAGCCAGCAACAGAACATAAACTTTCCTTTCCTTGGGCATTCCTAAGCCACTGGGTGACATCAGTTCAAAGTCAGGTCCTGGTGAGGCCGACCGTCCTTACAGTTACTCAGGGGAGACTTCATGATGGTGGACAAGCTCCCCTGTTGCCTCCCTCTCCTCAGAGACAGATTCTCTCCAGTTCTGCCTTTCACACCATGCAGCCCTTTGGGGGTCTTGATTCATTTCTTTCCCTGCCCCTATTGGGCCTAAGGCCCTGTCTCATGTCCCCAGGGAGCTATTAAAACCTAAGGCTCTGGGTTACCAATTCCGGCAACTATCCCCCTAACCCATCTACCTAGAGGCCACAGATAGTGCTCTGGTTTTCAATTCTGAAATCCATTCCAACTCTTGAAGATTTTCCTAACTTTCTTGGGAATTCAGCTATATATTTAAAGGACACTTTGTATTTTATGCAGCATTTTATTCCACAAGTATTATTGGGCACCTATAGTGCTAGGCACTACACTGGGGATACAGCAGCAA